GTTACCTATTCTGTCTTGCAAATAGTTGTTGCTACTTGCTACTACGTACGATGGGAGCTTCCATCTTTAATCTGAAGACACTTAAACGTACGCGCCATCTCGTGGCAACTTTCATAACGATCCCAACGAACATTCCTTTGAGAAGGTTCCTGATACCATCCCTGTGCCTTCCACTGTTTCGGCGTGTATGTGAACACATTTGGGACTAACAGGGTTTACTAAAATCCCACCACTCCACCACAGAGTCACCACAGTAGACGTTAGATGAGCGCTGTCGCTCCACGGCACTTGTCATTATTACAATACAATGAGGGCATAGTTCCATGGCTGTCTTGTTGTAATATATTGTGCATTCAGTCCTGTTAATATAGGTACTTGCACCCTCCCCTGCCAATCAGCATATCTGTAAGCTGTTAACAAATACCAACCTTTTCAGGGATTCATATCCAATGCTTATAGTAGCAAACAAGGTTGACTTGGATCATCTACGGTCCGTCACAGAAGAACAAGGGAAGGAGTTGGCAGCACAGCTCAAAGTATGTACATCTAATATCACAACCTGTTTGGTAACTGTTGATTGCTTCATTCTCCCTACTTGGGTTGCTGTGATTCATTGTTCTCTTTTTAGAAATAAATGCTATAAGTGTAGTGGTGGAAGGTAATTATATGCATTTGCAATAAGAATAAGATATCATAGGCAGTATGATTTAACATGGCATTTTAATATAACTATAATAACAACAGAGGATACAAGGATTCATGGTACTAATTTAATGGTAAGTATTAGTATATATTGTTAATAGATGTACATATACAGTATGTTGTATTTATGGTAAAAGACTCTTAAAATAGTTTACCTTGTATTTAGGTACCTTATATAGAGACCAGTGCCAAAGATCCGCCCCTCAATGTAGATGCAGCTTTTAGTGAAGTGGTCAGAATCATAAGGTGAGTAAATATTATGATAAAAAAGAACATTTAGTGAAATGTTCATGTTAACCATTTTAAAACTTTAAAATTTATGTTCATGCAAGTATAAGTAGTTCGTGATTGTCATGAGTAGGTGGCAAATTTCCATTTATAAGTTTTTTTAAAACGTCTGTGGTAAGTGTATATTGGATTAATTTGTTCCCTTCTGTGAATTGACATTCTTCTTTTAGAACTCAACCTCCCGAAACAGAGAATAAGAAGCGTAGAGGCCGACGACATCATAAATGTACTATATTGTAACAGTGGTGCAAAATTAGCATGTATTGGATATCATTTGTTATCTTAATCATGATAGCCATTAGATATAACCAAGAGCCCATCAATATATAGTGCATACAGTGGGAAAATATGAAAACCATGTCAGAGTTTAATGTGATACTAGTAGAGTAAAACAATAACAGAATTCGACAAGGGTATACAACCTAAATAGTTTTTATAATTTCATATGGACTAGTGGTTGGTCTTAATTTCTCCAGCTGTAAATGGCAGTTATTACATTGATAATAACTTGTCAAATTTCCATAGGTAATGTAAAGAAATATCTTTGAAATTAAGACAGTGTTTTCATATTTTATCATTATATGCTCTAGATAATTTATTAGGTCTAGATATAACTGTATTTTTACATTGCGTGAAATTATTGAGAATTCTTATTTTGTTTTCTGTGTAAGCATTGGCACTAGATTTGGTAATGCTTGACCAGTGATCTCAGCTCAAGCACATTGCAAAAGCTCATGTGTTCAGTGTTAATGTGATGTGAAATTGTTGATTGCTTAGACATGGTTACACTGCATCTGCACCCTCAGGGCTAATGTGACCTTCACCTTTACTACCCGAATTAATGGCGCAATTTTAGCATCTCTGAGTGTTCCACTTTTTTGAAGTGAGGTTTAATGAAATTTACAAAAAAACGTGTGTTCTACTAGTTTGTGAATTGGTTTTATCATAATTTGCGTGGCAGAGTATAATATTGAGAGCAGTGCCACTGATGTTGGATGCAATTGGTTCTTTTAAGAACCTGGACTATCAGAATAAAAAATACAGAGCTATGAAACATTCATTCTGTAGACACACTACTCATAGTCATAATAAAGCCTGCCATGCAATATTCAAAAGGCTAGCTAGCCTAGGCTAAAGTATAGGAAATTATTTTATGTATTATTTGCAGATAAAAAAATGGGAGAGCTCCCAAAGTAACATTTTTGTCCTTTTTTGCCATATTTTGACAGTGTTTCCCTACTCCTGTCCTAGTTTTTATAACAATCACTGTCCTACTTTTATACTACTTCCTCACCTTGGTAATTTAGAAAAACTGCAATTCATATTGCTGTTTGTATGCGACATCAGTGGTGAATGTCACATGAGGTCCAATTGCACATCATTATCTATCTATCTTGTTTTCTTCAAACTTGATGACGTCTATTGATGGGAGCCATATTCACGTTGAAAATTGTTTAATATAATGGGTTTCTTGTGAATTGAGAGTAAGATTGATGCGTTAAAAAATCAGCATTTATCACAAAATCATTTAAAATGGTATATTCCCGCATATAAAAAATCTCTGTGTGAAGTGCAACTAAAGTGATAACGACTGAATCTAGGGAGTTTATATGTACTTTTTATGAAATGTTTAGTTTTAATTGCCTTCATATAAATTCTTCTTATATAGTAGTGTTTGTATATATCCAGTTGTAAGTTTTGAAAATATTCAGAATGTCATGGCCCGTCATCAGTCGTCATGCACACAGCTGTAAATCAAAGGTAGATGTTTACTGGCGCTCATAGGCTCTATGTCCCCCAGGGTACTGCCGGAACGTACCCTGGGTACAGTCCGGTATACCGGAACGTACCCTGGTAACTATCTGATATGGTTAGGGTTAGGGAGTAGGCGTAGGCGACTCCCTAGACTCGTTAGTGGAGTAGGCGAGGTACGGTCCGGCATATTAGATACTACCAGGGTACGTTCCGGTATACCGCACCGTACCCAGGGTACGTTCCGGCAGTACCCTGGGGGACATAGACCCTCTCAGCTTTACTGGCATATCTACATGTGATGTCAGTAAGTTGATATCAGCCTAGACACCCTAGTCATTGCTAAATCTAAGTCATATTTTCGTGAATCTCTGAAATATTCATTGCTGGGAAGACTTCGTCATAATTTTTATTTATCTTTGGAACAGGCTTGGCTTGATCCCAGTCATATTCATAATCTCTGCACTACAGTAAATTCGCATATTATGTTATAATTGGATATGTTGTTTATCATTGTGTATGCATGTGCACGTGTAACGGATGAGAATATGAGCCATTTTAATCATATTTGATACCCTTCATATCGTGTGGGCAATGCTTAATTGCTGTAGATATACAAATTTAGATCATAGGAATGCATATATGTTGGTTGAATTAAAGAGATACCTACCAGATGTATTGGATTTCACCAAATACGAGCTGGTAAATATTGAAGGTTATCTACAGCTCATATTGAGCAAATGTATTTGCCATCTTGGAAGACCAAATTTTTCCCCTCCTAATGGCGATTTACATTACCTTAGCATTACATTTATTTTCTGTTAACGTTGATTTTTCATGCTACTGAAACTTTAGTGTTGGATGCATAAATGTGTTTAGTTATGTCGAATATATGAATTTCCATGGATCTATCTTTGAGATTTAATATTCCGATGACTGATGTAGTGGTGATTGCCAAATTTTACTGAATTGTGTATTTCAATGATTGACTTGTATATCTCTGTGCATTTATTTCCATATACATATAATATGGGGCATGGGCAATCACAGACTTGCTTCTGCTGTGTTAGCTTATCACAACTGTAGACTGTAGTCAATAAAAATTTATCTGATGCTCTGCTTGTATCTCTGCCCATCGGTAAGCAAATGAACAAGCTGCCATTAAAGATGTTGTGTCACCTTGTTAAAGGTAACGAAACTTCAGTGTAATTACCTATAAACACAGAAGAAATGCATCTGTTTAAAGTTTGTATTAGAATTTGTTTATACCTTAAGTTGAAATGGTCAGCTATTATTTGGGCATATCTATACTCTTGATTTTGATGACAATTCTATAGTGTCTTGTCATACTTCCATAAGGCGATGCTTATAACAACTGAAGCGGTTTGTGTCCTGATCCCCAAGTATTGTTGTAACGTAAAGATTAGTGTCCCAGTAAGTTCCCAGTGTTTGTACCCAGAGTGACAGATCCTTTTAGCTAAAAGAGTAAACTAGACAGCATTTATTGCTGGTTCTTATGAGTGACAAGCTGGTTAGATTGCCAATTCTTTCTCATCTCTCTAGTCATTCCTTGTTATGCATTTACAACAATAGTAAAAGAGGCATGTTGAGTTTATATGAAATGATATCTACTCGATACGCGCACTTCCGAGAGGCAGCCAAACTCACTGGTGTTGCAAAGACGCACATAATGAAAAAGGAATTATTGCAAGTTATATGATGCACAAACATGATTGCTCTTTAAATTCGAATTAGGCTTCGTTTCAAGTGTATCCCTTCATAAACATTCGATGACGTGTTTATATGATGTGAATTTTACCGACAGTGAGTTGCCCGGGGTGAGTTTTTGCTGTATGTGAACTGTCATTTATTCGTACATATTGAAAATTTGAAAGCAATAGGGTAGGAATACGTGCAGACTTTGAATGGATTTTCTGAAACATTTTTAATTATTACTTCAGTGCGTAGCATTATTTAAGTGCGTTATAGATATGTGAAACGTAAAATAAACAAGATTTTTTACGACAAAGATACTAGTCTTCTAAATTGCCTTTATAACTCGTGTAATTGTGAGAATTACATACAAGTGTACAAACCATAAATTCTGTAGATGATTAAGATAATCATGCTGTTACCTGTCACACAGCGTGCAAATATACGTTGTGATTCAAGTCTCAAGTCTCGCATACAAATCAGCACCGTGTAAATAATGTTCGCAAGTATCACTTGGTCATTGCCAATCACTATTATCCATAAAAATAGTACATTTTGTTCGTACAGAAATAATAATGTATAAATATGGAATGAGAAGAAGGTAACAGTTTAACACACTTTAGATGGTAACAAATATTGAGTATTAAAAATGAAGCAGGCTTTACACGAAACTTCTTTAGAAGTTTAAAAAAATATATTGGTCATGTAATTACGGTTTAATGTCTTTGATCTCGTAACAGTTCAATAATGCGAACATAGTTCACATCAGGAATCTATCAATATAGTCTATTGATAGACTCCTGATCACATCTAAACAAACACAAAGCTGTGACAAATGGTAAGCTGCCTGGGCTAGAAATCATAACTGAAAATAAAAAACAACAACAATACTATTCATATTTACCCAAGCAGCTGCTGTTTACATTCTACAAGGATGATATATCAGCTCTGCAGCACTTACATGACGATCTACATGTAAAAGTACTGTTTTTGTCTCAAAGCAGAATATTACAATCGTAGCACAATCGTACTATATAGTAGTATAAAAACCTTATCAGAAAAACAAAAAGCAATATTTTAGAAACTCCCAAGTACCAAATTATTTTCATATGTCAAATTTACTACTATCACATATGCCATCAAAGTAGAAAATAACTTGGCTTTGGGGTGTCCTCATTCGAATATATGTATCTGTTCTACATGTAATGCCATTCCCAACTTTCCACCAATTGCTATAGGCCACTATTTTATCGAAAAGAAATCTGCTTAAATATTTCATTTTCACTGCACATACATTCTAAGAATTTTGCATTCCATTCATTGATTTTTTTACAATTCGTCTTTTTCCTTTAGTGAAATGGTGGCCTCTTTCTCAATAAATTTCACGAGTCCTTTAAAATCCCGTTTTCCAGTATATTTAATTGGTGCTTTCTTATTATTTGCTGGAGCAAAGTATATTGTTGGATAACCAGTCACATCATAAATGGCAGTTGGAAAGTCATTGGCTGTTGCATCTAGTTTTGCTATTGTAATAGAGGTTTTGTTTTTTAGTTTTTTGCCAAGTTTGTTAAATTCAGGTTCTAAGGCTTTACAGTGTCCACACCAGGGAGCATAAAACTCAATTAATACGTCTTTATGATTATCACCAACAATCTCATCGAAGTTTTTGCCAACTACAATCTTGACTGGGCCATCGTTGCGTTTGGGTACTGGTTGCGATTTGACATGAGCTGTGAGCTTATCTGAAAAGAATGTAAAAAAATATCTGTATGAGAAATGACACTATGCAGTATTGAGACAGAATACCCTTTGTGTATTAACAAAGTATTTAGATTACAGTCAATCAAACACCCATTAAAAATGAACTTATCAGCCTATTAGTAAGGATAAGAGTTTCATGTGTCTGACCAACTTGTAACCCTCAAGCACTCTGTAACCCTCAAGCACTCTAGGTAGAATATACCCAACCTACCATTGTGAAACTTCTCCACAAACTCCCTAAACACATCTTCTTCGAAATCCTCTTCAGGATCTAGGACATATCTTTTGCCACTCTGATCCCAACAAGCAGCATTAACATCCTGTCCACTGTCTTCTAACCCTATAAAAACAATAGAACATTAAATAATAATTGTCCTTTGTCTGTGTTCCCCCCACCCCTCAATCTCTTCACCTAACCCATCCTACAACTTACAATTGTGAGGAACACTGTAGAGGGGAGCATGGGTGTTAGCTTATCAGCTATATATTTAGGACTTACCACCAGGCACGCCATATAGCTATGAAACTGTGCTCTAATGTGTCACACACCCACACACACACACCTAAATCCTTCAGCTCATCTTTGAATTCGTCCTCATCAGAGATGGCAAATGTAATGTCTCTAAAGTCATTTGCCACCTGTAGAACCTTTCCTCTCCAGAATTGGGTATCTGCAATATCCAAGACAAACGGTAAGCTGGGAAATCGTGAATAAAACGATCCATCTTTGCTGAACAAATTACGTACTGGCAATATAACCATGCAATTGAAAGAACTGTATAGGGACTATCACAGCATAAACAAAAGTACAGAGTTTAAGAGTTTAACTAATCATTTTTACAACAAAATGAATGAAACAAACCATCTCGATAATCGAATCCAAAGTCGACTGTAAAATAGACAACACAAAGTGGTCGTCTCTTGTTGTAGCGCCTTTGCTCCATTTCCTTGTTTCGATGGCCGACTAATGGTAAATTAAAACGTTCATAAAAACTAGCTATGTTCTCAGGTACTGCATCGTTCTGAAGAAAATAACATAACATGGTTAATAGTTAAACAGTTTCACTTCAACCAATTTTCTTTTTATACTTTACACTATTATCACATGCTATGATGTGGTTCCAACGTCAACTGCATAGTTTCAGGCTGAACTACTAGCAACCACCAACACTTGACCACAACATCATACAACACTCAACACTACACTACACAACACAATAATACAAACACAAAACCAACCTAAAAGAATCATATGTGTCTGGTACTCATGGTCCACATACAAACTTGCAACCACTGGCACGTTCAATCATAGTTTCCTCTAGCAATGAGATGCCTACCTCTCTGAATACATGCCTATGCGGTTCATAGCTTGAATGCATGTGTTCTGGGTAAAACAGAACAATTGTTTCAGGCTCTGCCTTATAATGTTGTGCCACCTCATGATTAAATGTGTGTCCAAACCTGTAGTCATCTCTCAGATCATTTCCTGGCAAATGCATAAGAGGTACCAAAGTAGTAAACAACAAGACAGCACTTCGAATATCGATAGCATTAAATATTACACCACTATTATCGTGAAGTAATACTAAATGTGAATAAAAGGACCAATGTAAAAATAACTTCTTTGTTAACCTTGTGTCAGCTATATTTTCATTGCATCTCCATAAGATAATTTGTTAGACCCAACTCCCCATAAAGCTAGATAGCCCTACGTTTCCAACATGAATTTTTTTTATTAAACATTCTTACCTGCTTCCAAGTAGGTTGTAAACAGATGTTCTGAAGGCCCAGAGAAGAAGCCAATTATGGTGATGTCATCATGTAGCATGTACTCATGAACATCTTTAGTTGTGTTCAATAGGTGTGAAGAAAAGCCCGCTTGTGCAGCCATATAGTACACCATGTCTACAACAAATTTTACAGGATTTAGATCACAAAGACTTATTGACACAAATCTGTCATGCACTACGACACACATAAAATTACATTGGCTCGTTAGAAACAGATTAACAGCACTTCTTCAACCTATTACCATTGTCATAGACATATGCACTAGCTACAGATAACATCCCAGTCTAGGTAAGTTTACGATATGTTTCAAGTACGACGGGTTTTTGGAATATGATCTTATCAGACCTTTTGCTGTGCGTGGTCCCTTGTAGTCATGTGGCTTTCCCTTCCTAAAGATTTTGAGAGTTGGGTAACCAGTAACTTCGTATTCTATCCCGATATCTTCCTCTACTGTTGTATCAACTTTTGCAAATGGAATAGGCGGATCATGTTGGTCCTTCAGCACTTGTGCTGCAACTTCATACTCTGGTGCCAGTTTCTTACAGTGTCCACACCTTCAACAGTACATAATTACAATATAATATTTCAAATTATCATGTTACCTACTGCACATTATCTAGGAATATGATTTTAAATCATTGAAAACAGTATTGTGTGTTGTGTTGTGTTGTGTATTATATATCGTAGTTTTATTTAAATTATAAAAGAATTTTCAAGTCAGAGTCACACAGAATTCTGATTGTATCAAATCAAAGAGTCTGACAATAAAGCAGGAAAACATTTGACACCAGACACACTTTCATTACACCAGCATTACCATCCCAAGCGACCACATCACTTGTTTGTGAAACACCTAGCCACACCTACCATGGAGCATAGAATTCTACTAGAATGATGTCAGCTTCTGTAACAACTTGGGTGAAGTTTTCACTGGTAAGCACCAAGACTGCTGATACAGGAGCGGTCCAATTAGGATCAGATCTCTCCTTCATCCATTTAACAATGCCTGGAAATAAAGATTGCTTATATATTTACAAAATGTAAACTAGTAAAACTTTCGGGCAAATTGGTTATGCATTTTATAAAACATTTTATTAATATACACTTATACACCACTAACTGGTGAATCCATGTTTACTTTTGGCAATCGCTGTTGACAATATATAATATAGGTGTTGAAATGGTGAGAGTACTCTACAATCATTCTCTGTATAAGGTAGAGTGTTAGTAAACTATAACAACATACCGTCTGCTTTACGGTCACCCGTGTAATCAATCGCTTCTCCATTTTTAAAGAATTTTAAAGTTGGGTATCCAGTTACTTCATACTTCTTGGCAAGCTCTTCTTCAACTGTCCCATCGACTTTTGCTAGAGGAATTGGTGGTGTGTTTGCCTTGAGCCTTGCTGCAGCTTTTTCATATTCTGGAGCTAACTGTTTGCAGTGACCACACCTACAATGTATAGTCATACGCATATAACTGAATAATAATAACATTAAAACTCGAACTTGAATTTTGTTAATGCAAGCATATAATACCAGAAGTATATATGCATTCCTTATCAATATGAATCATGTCGATCTGATGATACTGAAGTGTGTATCAATCAAAGCACTGAGTGCCCATTTACTGCGGAGATTAAATTTGCAGTCAAGCCGAATGCATATCAACTATCTAAGCCCTAACAACCTTGAATATTTTTATGCACATTACATTTTTTGCTCTGAATTAGTGATAATGTTATAAAACAGGTTTGACTTTTCCTTCTCATAAGGCAAGATTGTCCAACAAAATGGCAGCTGTGCATAGGTGATGTCACATTAGAATGCAAGCTGTTAATCTTTAGGCACAAATTAACAGCGTTTTAGGGTACATGCCCATGGATATCCATGAAATAAATTAAGTCTGCTAATTAATGCATGAACGCACACACGCATGCACGCACGCATACACGCATACACGCATGCACGCACACACGCATATATACAATGTATACAATGGTACATACATATTATATATATGTTCATGCTACTGAATGCTACTATATACTATATATGCACCAGACCACAACATTACTCTGCACAGACATATATGTCTCTATATGTAGAGTCAGGTACACCATGTTGAAGAAGTAACTATAACAAGTGTTCCTTAATTATATGTATAATACAAATTAATATATACAATACCAAGGAGCATAGAATTCCACCAGTATAGCATCCTTTGACATGACCACATCATTAAAGTTTTCATTGTTTACAACAAGAACGTCACTTTCTTCAGGAACAGTAGGATCTCCAAGTTCAACTGAAAAAAGTATGCTATAATTATTAATCTTGCAAAAGAAAGCTGCCTTAACAGGGTCGTAACCTGAGCATTAATTGGAGGTGTACACAACACGATCGGGTCTCGTCTTCATATGCGACCTTCACACCACCGTGTCTTAAAAACCCCTGCTGAAAGGAAGGGGGATATTCCAATATACACAAACACTATATGGGGCACTTGCCCCCAGACCAATGTGGATACACTACTAATACATGGCAGAGCCAGAGACTATAACAATGTCGAACTTCCCACGGCCAACTGTTGTCACCATAGAAATTACATACATATACGTATTCAAATGTTGTACGTTTGTTCAAATTGTTGCAGATGAGCATTTGGACGGCATTTGCAGGAAATCGTCGGCAATAATAGGTGAAAGATAGTATAGAAATATTATAAGACTTTGGTAGTAAATAGATTTTGTATTTATTTAGCATTATATTTTATTGAAACGCTCCAAGTGCCGCTCATAGGGTCTATGTCCCCCAGGGTACTGCCGGAACGTATCCTGGGTACGGTCCAGTATACCGGAACGTACCCTG